GTGCAGGGGCGCTGTGTGCAGGGGGCGCTGTGTGCAGGGCGTGCTGTGTGCAGGGGGCGCTGTGTGCAGGGGCGCTGTGTGCAGGGGGCGCTGTGAGCATTCGACGAACGCACAAAGCAGTAAGCTCTTGGCTACGCGAGTGTTCCAAGGCCTGCTGAGCCGCCTGACCCCCACACTCCTGGCCATCAAGTTGTTCTTAGGAATTCCCAGGTGACCCAGCTTAGGAGAATGCCATCAGTCCCCCTCCAACCAGATTCCATCCTTGTGGCAAGGGCCACTCCTGCTTTCAGTTTTAACTAATGCACAGATGTCGTTAAGTCCCTGAGCTGGACCACATGCTGGGAGTTTTGGTAAAAGCAGGGTCCTTTCCCTGCCTTCAAAGGGATGTAACCCTGCCGCTGTGACACGGAGGGTGACCAGGGGCAGGCACTAGGGGTCCAGCGGCCACGGAGAGACGGACTCCCTAACAAGCTCTGAGAGCTATTCTCCAACAGGGTTAGTCGGGGAGACCCTCAGCCAAGAGGCGGTCCTCAGTCTGTGCTTGGAGAGTGGGCCCCTTTGGAAGGGGAAGCTAGAACAGACGGGTGGGGGCCCAGGGGCTTCCTGGGAAAGGGTGGGGAGCGGTGCCAGTGCAGGGAGCCAGGGAGCTGGGGCTTCCCAGAGGGAGGGGGCGTGGTGAGGGGAGAGGGCCGTTGGGGACCCGGAGTCTGAGCGCGGTGCAGAGACTGTCCGTGGACCGTACTCGGTCTCGTCAGGCCGCTGGGTGGGAAGGCATCTGAACGGTGCCGGCACTGAGGTTGTGGCTCGGAACCATGGAGCCGTGGGCCCTGCTCTCTGTGCGACCATGCACTCTGTGTGCCCGGGTCTCTCTCTTCATCTGTAACGCCTGTCTCCCGGCCCGCGCCTCTGTCGCCGCGCCTCTGCGTGCAGTCCCCTCTTCTTGTACGTCACCAGTCGTATTGGATCAGTGCCCGCCCCATGTGAGCCCTGGGGCCGCAGTGCCCAGCGGCTAACCACGAAGGCTGCAGTTGGACCCCGCCAGCTACTCCACGGGAAAAAGGTGTAGCGGTCTGCTCCCGTAAAGTTCCAGCCAGGAAGCGCTCTGGGGCCCTTCTGCTCTGTCTTACACAGTTGCTGTGAGTCAGACTCAATGGCAGTGGGTTCAGCCAGAGAGGCAGCCAGGTGATGCAAACGGTTAACAAGCTTGACTGTTGACCGAAAGGTTGGCGGCTCGAACCCATCCTGAGGTGCCTTGGCAGATGGGCCCGTGCTCTGCTTTGAAAGCTCACATCTGAAAACCCTCTGGAGTTGTGCTCTGTGCACATGGGTCACCCACAGAATGGGCAGCGGGAACCCAGGAATGAAAGGACAGTGCCGGGCACGCTGTGGACACGCAGTGGACATGCTATGGACATGCTGTGGGCACGCTGTGGACACGCTGTGGGCACGCTGTGGACACACTGTGGACACGCAGGGAACAGAGTGTCTCAGACACACTGTGTCTCGAGTTCTCAGGAGAGAGGGCCCTGTCAGAGCCCTTGCTGTTCCTCTGGGATCTGGATGGTGCACGCCAGGGGCTTTGGGCATTGGGGCTGAGCTAAGCTGGAGGCAGGAGCGTGGAAAGACGTGAGGAGGCGGCGGGAGGATGGTCGTGAGGGACAGCTGGCTGGGCTGGTGCGGGGGTCACCCTCCTCCTCCTCTCCCTCCTCCTCCTCTCGTCCTCTCCTCCCCGTTTCCTCTCACAGGTATAAGTAGGGGACAGTGATGCTGGTCCCCCTCTCGCTGCACAAGTCACACTGCACCCCAGGGCTGGTTTTGCTGTCCTGGCTCTGGCTACCGTCTGGCCTTGGGACCCAGCCACGCCAAGTGGCCTGGGCACTCAGTGAGACATAACATGAGGAAGAGGCGACTTCTTTACAGGGCTGGACAGGCCAGCGTTCTGCCTCAGCCTCAGAATCTTGCTCTCCTGGAGGCATCTGGGAAGCCTTGCTTCGCTCCCCACTCCCGAATCTGGAGGCCTCTCTGCCCCCCAGGCCCCTGTGCCCCTCCAGCGTGAGCCCTCCTCTCCTCCCTGGACGGCACAAACGGTAGCATTGGACGAGTAACCCGAAGGTTGGCAGGTCACCCCCGCCCTGCAGTGCTGCACGGAACGTTCTGCGGATGGGTGTCCACTAAGATTACAGCCAAGACAACACCACGGAGCCTTCCCACACCACCACACGGGGTCGCCACGAGTGAAAGTGACCGGCAACAATGGGCAAGGACGTAGAAGCAGCAGACTCTCTTAGCTAAGGCTGGGGTCTGCGCCCCCGTCACCACACATTCCAGGGAGCTGAGGCCTGTCACCAGAGACTTCAGGGCCACAGCAGTGGCCTTGAGCGGAGGTGGCGCCCAGAGCCGCCGGCCCCTTCTCCCCTGGCTGTGTGCTGGGCCCTCTCTCACGGGCTGCCTTGTTCCCACAGAGCAGCCTCAACAGCCAGGCCGGCCTGGGCGTGGCGGCGCTCAGCACTCTCTACGGGGCCATCCTCCTCTCCTCCATGTTCCTGCCCCCTCTGCTCATCAAGAAATTCGGCTGCAAGTGGACCATCACCGGTTCCATGTGCTGCTACGTGGCCTTCTCCCTGGGCAACTTCTACGCCAGCTGGTAAACCTGCCCCAGCCTCGCCGCCCTCGGGGCTGTGCCTTAAGTGAGCTGCATGGGGCCCTGCCACCTGCTCGGCACTGACACTCACAGCCTGGCCATTGTCCTGCTTGTGTGTCACCAAGGCAGTGGGTGTGGTTTGGGCTTTGCTTCTGTGAAGA